TCGCAAAATACATCTATCACAATCGTATCGCAAAATAAATACATAGTATATGATAAACGTATCACACAATAAGGGGCGGTGGTGTAGCCTATTGGTTCAAGCGTTCTCTCGTCACACCAAAGACCCGGGTTCGATTCCCAACGTGGGTACAATGTGTAAAACCCATTTCTGATGTCCCCGCCGTGATATTGCTGCAATGTTGCTGAAAGCGGCGTAAAACCATACTCACTCACTCGCAAAATAAATCTATGACAACCATATTGCAAAGTTCAAAGTGCATTATATTTTACTGTACGACATTCAGGGTCCATCTCATGTGTAGAGCATTTCTTTCAGTATACAATTTTCGGTTCAAATATTTAATTAATCGTTTTGTCAGAATATATTTTCGACATAAAATAATAATCCCAATCTCGTTAAAAAGCTGTGTTCTTTTTCAAAATATTTAATACAATATTTCATAATTTTTGTAATCAAATACGTCTTTAAATCGATTACATCATACAAGAGTTGATGGATTTCAATACAATAATATCGATATATATTATCAATTAACAGAAAATGCATTTATAAACAGTGATGACATCCAGAGAAACTTCAAATGAATCTATACTCTCACTCGCAAAATAAATCTATTACAACCGTATTGCAAAGTTCAAAGTTCATTATATTTTACTGTACGACATATACGATTCATCTAATGAGCAGTGCACTTCTTTCAGTATACAATTTTCAGTTCAAATATTTTACTAATCATAATGTCAGAATATATTTCCGAGCAATTCTTCCACACATATAACAGTATTACCAAAATAGAGCGAGGCGAACACTGCTATTTGAGAAACAGATACATTTAATTCAGGACAATCAGCATTTATTTTATTACCGACAAGTTATTATTTTAATTAATCATGCAATATCTATATCTTTGTTTGTGCAAGGTCTAACTCTCGCTCTTACACTTCATATCCTTACTTTCTCCTTACAATGTACCCGTTCTTGGCTAAGTCATCGCCGGTGTATACGTCTACTACATTGTGAGATAAGGGTATCTTTATCTGACACGGGTTGTCATGTACTCTTCACCTTTACACCTTCCACACATCTGGACTACAGCACGGTGTGTACGATATGTACATTGGTATCGACACAATGGAAAATAGGAACGGCTGTAGATATGATACAAAGGAAAATAAGATTCAGTTCAAGTTCTAGGAATTCAGTAACCAATACGCCCAACATCATTTTTCGTGTTGTAACCCGTAAAGATCCGGGTTAGAATTGATCTTCAGTAACCCATGCTTGTCGTAAGAGGCGACTAACGGGATCGGGTAGGTGAGGCTCGCTGACTTGGTTGACACATGTCATCGGTTCCCAATTGCATAGATTGATGCTCATGATGTTGATCACTGGATTGTCTTCTCCAGACTTGATTATTTACAGACCGCCGCCACAAAGCTATAATATTGCTGAGTACGGCGTAAAACTAAACTCATTCACTCACTCACTCGTGTTGTAGGTATCATGTATATTAAACACTTAAGAGAATCTTAAGTGCCTATGCTTTGCTCGAATGTGATTTGTGCATATGTATAATGCATCAAATCTGCAATTTCATTAAGAATTTTAAAACACTATTTCGCCTTCAATTTATCAATGTGCAATTGGTTTTCATTCTTAGCTCCCTGGGTAGTAAACGGATGTGACCACGTCATCCTACCGGGTACCCACTCACTGCTCTGAGAAAAGATGTATTTCGCTTCCCAACGGAGACACTATGTGCGTTGGTTGTGTTTCACTGTTGGGTAGGATTAAAGGCCAAGAAAGTAGCAGCACAGTGTACGGGTGCTGCCACCAATCATCACTACCTTCATCTTATCTGCCCAAAGGTCGTTCTTCCCTATCAACAATACAGGCCCTTAACGCAGGGTCAGCTAAAATTATAACAGATAGCTGATACAAGTAGGGCACAATGTTGGACAAACTCGACAATGCTGGACATACTCGTCAATGCTACGTTAAGCATAGATCTGGTTCGCGTTGTTTGTGGCTAAGGAAATGGGACTTTTCAGGCTGACGCAGCTGTCTTCTTAGAAGGGTATATAGTATGCACAAATTAAATGTGTATTTTAGCAAATTCCAAAGTGAAATAAAACGATTGCCTCCTCGTAATGACATTGAAATATAATTATATTATAAATATTTTAATCTTGTTATCTTTCATTCACGAAGTAGTGTAACATTATAGATATACTTACCACAGTTCCCCCTTTTCTGTCAGAAAACACATAATGCAAATAATTGATTCTATTATATATTTCTTTAATTTCTCAATGTATTCCGTGATAGTTAGTGCTAATATACACGAGGTCGATTAGCCCACAAAACAATACTAAAATACTTGGGTCACCAGTCAAATATACTCATGCCAATAATGGTTGTCACCCCCTTCAATTTTTTTATTGGAGAGGGGGTGTGGGGTGTGTGTGGGTTTGGGGTGGGGAGGCGGTGACAACCATTATTGGCATGAGTATATATACTGTGAAAAGTGTTTACAAAATACTGGAATTTATTGGAATTTAAACGTGTCAGCGAAAAACTGCAAAGTATAGTGTATTTACACATGTTAATTATAAAATGCATAACATTGTGTATTGAAACATATTAACAACTAAAGGTATAGTCCTATGGTATGATTACAATTCTAACATGTTTAAATAAACTGCATACAATTGGGGATGCAGTTAAATATGGATGCGTTGTAGATTATACATTGAAAATAAATTTTATTCTCAGACACATGCACAACATATTGACCAGCAGAACGTAAACCAAACTTGCTAACATGTCCAAGTACGTAACGTTAAGTTAGTGGTGAGGTGAGTTGAGGTGAGATGAGGTGAGGTGAAATTGGGTTTAACGTCGTGCTTGAGAATATTTCGCTCATATGACGACGTGCATGCGTGTGTATGTGTATGTGCGGCTGCTTGTTCTAGCCCAGACTGAAGCTGGTTTTATACTGCTAGTCCACTGAGATACCATGCCGCAGTGAAGCATGAATACCCCACTCACACACATCAACTGACTCCGAGCCCACCAGTCCTTGTTGTACCCATTAATGCCGAGCGCCAGGCAGGGTCCAACAAGTACCATATTTTAACGTCTTTTGGTTTGACGCGGTCGGGTATCGAACCCGCGACATTCCGCTCTCCGGGCGGACGTTCAAACCACTTCACCACGGAGGCGGTTAGTGGTTAGGACAAATGACGCCTTTGCCAACAACAGTGATGCGTGGTGGCGTGAAAACTTAAGAGGATCTCGACGAGGTTAAACGAGATTAATCAATAGGACACTTATACTTAGCAAATGAGGGAAACACGAATTCTTCAAAGCGTATTTATCTTAACCGAGTATTACATGATTATTTAATTACACATATTATAAATATATATACGCGTAGTTTAGCTGATGCCAAATTATCTGTCCTCATTCTCTTAGTTTTAATTAGTACATGTAGGTAAACTGATGTGCAAACGATCATTTTAAAACATTTTTTATATTTTCAAGTTAAAAAAATGTTGGCGATATTATATTCCAACAAATGTTTGCACATGCTCATATTTCTAAACATATAATTTTATCTAAAGAGTTTTAAAGAATTGATATAGGGGTGAATAATAAACACTGCTGTTGGGTATCTTAGCCATCTTTGAAAAACAACAAGAATGTTGAATGTGGTGTTGAAACAAAACATAATCACATTTCGCAACTGACATTTCATTCCAACTACATAAACAAAAACTCGGTGCATTTCTTCTGCCCCTCAGTATACATATGGTGGCAGTGTGAACATACTTTGTTAAATATACTCATGCCAATAATGGTTGTCACCCCCTTCAATATTTTTAATTGGAGAGGGGGTGTGGGGTGGGGGTGTGAGGTGTGTGGGGGTTGGGGTGGGGAGGGGGATGACAACCATTATTGGCATGAGTATACTTCATCCCTTATTCAATCTAGTGGTGATAGTTCGATTAACATTTGTGCTTTAATGAATCAAAGCTGAGAAGCTTAAATCTAATTGCATGGTTACTATTCATATGTACACATACTCTTTCCCATTTACTTCTTTACTTACTAAGAATCTGTACACTTGTACAGTTGAGCTAAGCTTATTATCATTAGTTTGAACATAATCAGTGAAAACTAATTATTGAAATTTATATTTCAGCACCATCGATCTGGCTTGTTTAGAGACAACCATGGCAGGTAACCTCCCAAAACTTAGACACCCATATCTTAGACACCTTAAAACAACAACATCTCTGGTTGAGTGCACAACTAATCCTTAAGCTGATACCTATTTCGTATTATGGATCAGTCCAGCTGAATCAATATTTATCTTGATTCAGCTTCTTTATTGAGTTCAACAATAAATAAACAATAAAGATCTTTTGTACTATGTCAGTTTGGTAATCATACATCTTGACTTCACATTAATAACTATAAGTTATTTAATCACACTTAATTATCGTGACCATTTTCAAGTCCTTTAGAGGCACATGATCCACCATTATGCAGATATGAAATTGAACATAGGAAACGGGCACTGTATCACGCAGTTTATGGCGGATGCAACAGGCAGGGAAGTACAAGTTTTGTAAACACCCGGTATTGTCACTGATTTTCAGTGATGAATTCATATAAACTTAATTTTAACTGCCCTTAAGTTTATCTGTTTCAGAGACGTACTGTATTCCAAAACCACATTTAACACGAAACCAGAACTCCACAAACTACCATTATTATGATAACCTCATTCAAACCTCAAAGCATTTGCACTCTTGCTTGACATGTGGACAATCACAGTGCTGTCAGTGTTCAAACAATGTGCGATAACATTGACTTCACAATCCAGATGACCATTAAAGAACTATTAACACGATTTTGACATAAACGATTGATGTTTATTTCATCATGTGTACATTTGATTGTTTGTTTAATGAAAAAAAATGAATGATTATGTTCAATGATTACTTCGATCTGTCTGTGATTATGTTCAATGATTATTAAAATCTGTCTATTTCATGAATACATAGGCGGCGAGAAGAGACATGACTGTTGCAACAACCGACATCTGTACACCAGGTGCTGAGGCTGAAACACAATAGGAAGTCCATCAGTTGGGCAGGTATGTTTACAAGGTAGGCTGTAACAGGTGGAGGACTCCTAGCCCAGGAAAGGTTATTGGGACCTTACATGGACATTTAGAGATATTTCTCAACATTTAACATGGGTAACAAGATGGAAATCAATGTGATCAATGTCCTGAATATTACGTGAGTCAGCAGTTTTCGATTTTACAGATCCAGTATTCAACATGCTCAACACAACCAATATTTCAGCTCTCCACACACTAGCACAAAATACGACATAATCTTAACATTCTTTAATGCAGTAGTACCGAATTCCGCTTTGAGTCTATTTCCGCAATACTACTGAAAATGGCCTTGGAATTCTCTAATGTAACAGTTCTGCATGCAACCTTGAAATTCTCTGACGTTTTGGTTCTGGATATATCCTGGGAATTCGTTCGTGCATCAGTGCTGGATTTACTTATGAAATAAATGATCTTCAATGCGATTATGAAATCAGTGCCTTGTCACTAAATCTTGCAAATGATTAAATTTATGGTTTTAACCTGCTCAGTGTTGTTGCATTAAATTATCCACGTGCATAATGTGGCAAAATCAGGAACCTACATGAACACCCGAAAGTTCCCACTTGATTCTTTATTTGGTCGATTGCCTGATTGAACGATGCGTCACTCTTACAACCGCTGCTCACTTTGTTGGTGCAGGTGATGAATGTCTCGAACGCACTGAAAGACGAGGATACAGGTATCAACACATTGAAATATCTCTGGAAGCTGCACATGATGAATCATATTGTTGACATGAGAAGTATGTATGTTGGACGTTCATAAGAACCTAATTCCATAGCTGTATCCAATGACGAACATCTCTATGTACAATATGTGGCATATATTAAGATATATTTGTAGTCACCTTCAGGTTGATTTGATTGGTGATCTGATCAGCCTGCAAGAACGGCATTGCATTAAAATGTCCAACATCGTTTTCTATCAACCTTTTACAATGACACACGTCTTGGTTTTGTCGATAATTTACCAAGTAAATCCAATTATGTAATTTAAGCTTTTTGGAACAATTTCTGAGTGAAGCTTGTGATAAAGTATACAAGCATCACTTACGCACAAACTTTAGCCTTGCTTTGGCCCGATTGAGTGAAAGCGGTTCCAAATGCAGTTCCGCACGCGGAAATTACTCCCAAGTCCGCCAATGAACAATCAGCACTCGCATATCCCACACAAACTGAAAAGGGAAACATTTAAATGACTAACAGGGGCGTAGGAACGGTTTTCAGAGTGGGGGGGGCTAAGTTTATGAAAAGTATTGAAAATCAAACTGAAATTGTAGTTATGGTAAGGTAGAAATGGTTTCGTCTTGAAAAAAGTGAGGGGGGGAAGGGCTAACCCCCAAGCACCCCCACCCCCCGTTCCTACGCCCCTGACCAAGGAGTGTTTCATAACAAGGTAATTTGTTTCAGTTGCAACAATACCATTTACACTGGTGAAATAGTAAAAACGATCATTAAGCGTATTTAATATTGATACACATATCTAACTTATGCTTGAAATTTTCTTCATGTTGGACTGATGTACTCTAGATGCTAGCATGAAATGTCGATAGTGTGAGGATGGTGTTATCGCCAGGACAATAGGCTAAGTCTGTATCGATATATTGAGTTGCGAATATGTGTTGTGATAGTAAGTATACTCTCCCCCAAAAAGAAACGCATCATGAAAATAGCAATTTCATGTAGCAATGAATTAAAACGTGATTCATTTTACTAAAGGTTTTGCTCTGTTTATGAGTCCTATGGTGTTTATGTTTTGAAACATCACAACAAAAAAGCACCATCCGTTAAATACCCGTATTTAACTGCATGATTTTCAATTTCGGCGTGTAGTGTCACAGAATAAGCAATTCACATGTAATGCACGTGAAAGTTGGGGATCAGATAGTCTCAATGATGGGTATAAAAGGTTGATCGCTGTCTGTCGATTATTCACTGTATTTGGAATATTGTTGACGAACGCAAAATTCCACGTCTAAGTGAGCCAACCGTCATATCGCCATTGATTTGCTTGAAGCTGGTCAGTCTCAAACTGCAGTTGCCCGAAGCATGTATGTTCACCAAAGCACCATTTCACGGCTCTGGGAGAGATATCGCCGGCAGAATGCAGTAGTGGGCGACCTCGAGCGACCACTGCGGCGCAGGATCGCTACATCCGGGTACATCACCTGCGTCATCGAACAGCTACGGCGACCAGTACCGCTCGACAAATACCCGGATTGAGGAGGCTTTCTGCACAGACCGTCAGGAACAGGTTGAGAGAAGCTGGTTTACGTGCCAGAAGACCTAATTTTGGCCCTGTGCTTCGACAACAACATCGTCGACATCGAGTTCAATGGTGCACCAACGTTCAGGCCTGGAACCTACCGAATTGGCGTAGAATCTGGTTCAGTGATGAATCACGATTTCTATTGGAACGACGTGATGGAAGAATGCGTTTCAACAGGACAATGCCAGGCCCCACACAGCACGTCACACTAGAGACTTCCTATAGAACCACAACATCAATGTGCTCCCCTGGCCCTCAAGATCACAGGACTTAAACCCGATCGAACATCTGTGGGATGCCCTGGACAGGCGGCCGCGACGCCGTAACCCTCAGCCCCAGACACTTCAGCTACTCGCACAGGCACTACAGGCAGAGTGGGCTGCGATTGGGCAACACGGGATTCTGAGACTTATTCGTTCGATGCCGAGGCGATGCCGTGCAGTTCTGGATGCCCACGGTGGTCACACGAGATATTGACTTCAGCGCCACCACACGTCTCCATGTGGCACTCAGACTGACTTTCCTCGAGTTGGAGCCAAAGACGGATAAATCTGCATTCCCAGTGTGCAATTTCGCTATATTTCTTCGACTTATAAAGCCTACAAGATGTTTCAAAATAAACATGAATATACAGTTGAAATTCCTATTTGCGTTTCTTTTTGGGAGAGTATATTATTAAACAAACGGTGATCAATATCAAACCTTCTTTACTTGTATCGCTTTATGTTTATATTCCTGATTTGATATCGTTCGTAATGTATTTATTAAAATAGAGTGCGTGAGTTTAGTTTTACGCCCCACTCAGCAATATTCCAGCTATAGAAAATACAATACAAATGTATATTTTTTCGCAGGCAACGTACACTATTGTTACGTCTTTTTTCAGTGAATTGTAGCAAGCAAGTGGATAAGAACAGTCAAACCAACATTAGTAAATAACAACATTTATATAATAATAAACATCATATATTTATTCAAATCCACCCAATGTATTAAACTGTGGCATATGTAAAAAGTGTCTGTATATCATTAACGCGTGTTCACATTCTGATAAAGATGCCAGCAGTGGCATTTGGAGAAACAAGTATTTCGACGTAGCAGGTCCAACGATATTAATAAAGACGTTTGTTTGAACGAAGTCTTCTCGTTGTTTCGGGGGTTCCGTGATGAAGAAATATAAATTCAAACTAACAGGTACTGAATAGTGCACATCAAGAGAAACCGTTCTTGACAAATAATGCATCTACAATATCTGCCAAAATGCAACACAACCTGCCTTACGGATGCAGGCAACGCCAGTTGTCCTTGCTCAAAGCTGTGTATTATTTTAAATCCTACCTGCAACAACAAACGCTGAAATGATCCACTTGTTCATGATGAGGGTCAAGTGACTATATGCCTTTACTCGTGTATAAGTGTATAAGCTTTTATCGTCCTACTAGGTTTCGCAGCAACCATCATATGTCCGATAAGAGATATGAATTGAAATAATTATCAAGAGTCGCGTTTCTAACGTAAAGAGATAAGAGATAAATATGTACATCATTTCACTGAATAAGTAGGTTGGTTGGTTGTTTATCGCCTCACTCATCAATAGTCCAGCTATATGGCGGCGGTTTGTAAATAATCGGGTCATGGATCAACATCATGAGCATCGATCTACGCAATTGGGATACGATGACTTGTGTCAACCAACTCAGCGAACCTGACCATCCGATCCCGTTAGTCGCTTCTTACGACAAGGTTACGGAAGATCAATTCTATCCAGGATATTCACGGGTCTAATTAAGTGGGATCTACATGTATATATAAATTTATGTCGACATCAGTGTAATTTAATATTACGCTTCATAGTGAGTGAGTTTAGTTTTACACCGCACTCAGCAATATTCCAGCTGTATGGCGACGGTCTGTAAATAATCATGTACGGACCACAGAATCCAGTGATCAACAGCAAGAGCATCGATCTACATCGTCAACTAGGTCAGCAAGCCTGTACAAATAAATGGAGATACACTGAGCAGAGCAGAGATTAGTTGTTCAGATTATATTGTTATTTACATAAAATGTACATATTCATATATACATTCACGCACGCCTGCACAGGTGCTATTTGTAACAAACGGTGTCCGAACAATAGTATTGACCAAGAGCGTTCGTTGGGGAGCTCTTGGAAGATAGTTCAGGATGGTTAACAACGGAAGAAAAATGTTTGCGGGAAGAGTTAATGACGACAGCAGCCATGTTTATCATGTTTGTGGAATACTGGTCGAAATGGTACAAGTTGATTGTAAACACGTGACAGAACGCACACCTGGACAGAGTGGCCAATGTTCCCGGTGCGGAGACCCGCTCTGTCACTTACACACACATGCAGAAGTAGGACGGCGATTCTTCATCGTCGACGTAGTCGTTGGTGAGGAGACGGCCTTGGCAACACCCCGACTATCCGCACAGTCCGTCCGCTTCTGTCCTTGACTGGAGACCGTGTCATTGACTCGTCACTCAGACTGAAGATTTAAAGAAATTTATTAATTTTTTTTTGCTTTCCTCCATATCGTGGTACCTGGTCATCGAATTGCCAAATTCATTCAAATACCCGGACATTCACAGGATAGATTTTCGATGTCCCGTTGCAAATCTTCACTAACCTATGCATATGTCTACATATGTCAAAGATCATGAGTCACGTTTAGGGATGTGAAGACTGAGCAAACAATATCCCAAAAATATTCACCCCTTACTTTCCTGTTTAGTATATGTGGCTAAACCACATGTATGTACGGACATCCAAATCTTTGTGACAACCAAGCTACCAATATGAAGCCTAGCTAAGGACCAAGCTGATAACTATATACGCACTTGCAGCAAACACTTACTTACTTACTTACATATATATTTATACTTTTATTTCAACCCGAATGTTTTCAAACAAATATTTTTGCAATAAGCGTTTACTGCAGTGCTGATTCACTTGCAAGAACCCCCCCAAAAAAAATTCGACAGTTCGAGACAAGAGGGTGAATTTGTACTTATTAGGGATTTTGAGTTCGACACAACCGGGAATTCGACACATCTAGTTCGATACATCAGGGTAAAATAATGAAAAATATAAGGAAATCGGATGGGACCGAGAGATGAGTTCGATACAACCGAGAATTCGTCTCAACCGAGTTCGAGACATTGGGGTTCGAATCTAAACTTACACTTATATTTCAACCCCAATGTTATGAAACAAAACTCAAGTATTCATTATTTATAATGTGAACATGAGTTTCGTGACTGTCATAGTGATCAAAATACGTCTTGTACATTCTCATAATAAAATTAATGTGTTATTAATATCTTATGTCCATTAGTTTTGCTAAGTGCATCCAAATAGTTTCCCCTTTATGTGAGAGTTCCCAATTGTATGATCTACGAATTCACCCATCATTACCATGATAACGTTTGTGTACACAAGTAAGTCGTTACAGATTGTACTTGTTTTGCTGAGTGGGGATCAGAAAGTTGGCCTATCTCGCAGGATGACCATGAAGTCCAGATAATCATATAGACTTGTGTGAACATGCAGAACTGTATACAGGGGTAAATTGAATCCTAAAGAATTCGAGAAACGTGAAGATCCGGGTTAGAATTGATGTCAGTAACCCAGTGCTTGTCGGAAGAGGCTATTGACTGGATCGAGTGGTCAGGCTCGCTGACATGGTTGACACTGTGACATGCCATCGTATCCCAACTGCGTAGATCGATGCTCATGCTGTTGATCACTTGGATTGTCTTGTCCAGACTCGATTGTTTATAAACCGCTGCCATATAGCTGGACTATTGCAGAATGCGGCGTAAAAATAAACTCATTCCTAAAGAATGTGTAACCAGGTTCAAATACATGTATCGACAAAAACATGCAGCTCTCTTCACAGGGTTACATTGAATCCTAAACAACCTGTAACCAGGCTCTATTAAGAGTGGCAATGTTGGGAGCCTGAACTATGCTATATATGTAAGTCTTGCCCTGGACGTTGCATACCGATATCGAAGTTGGTAGGTTATCATAGTTTATTATGAGTGTGACAGTTTAGTATGACGCCGCTTTTAGCAATAATCAAGCAGTATCACGGCGGGGACACCAGAAATGGGCTTCACACATTGTACCCATGTGGGAAATCGAACCCGTGACGAGAGAACGCTTTAAACAAATAGGCTACCCCACCGCCATTGTTGTAAAACGAACCTCCTTCTGTACTTATAAGTGAAAGAAAGTCTTTGTGAACTAGTACACGGCAGACGTTATTCAAAATTATCATATCATTCTGATCTAGAGATGCTTGATTGTTTGGCTGGTTTAGAGGCAGCCATCCTAAAACACCCAAACACAATATTGTATGTAATTTGTATGAATGAGGTGTGCAACGGGTAGGGCGAACACCCGATGCCACCTTCAACTGTCAGTGATCCAACCACAATTGGGGATCTTACATTTTGCAGCAAAGGAAATCCTTTTCGGAGATATTCAGTGTTTCGAAACCATAATTTGAGATGCACCCTTCCAAGGAACATGAGCAAGACATCAGAACTGCAAATTACTATATTATAATGGATGCGAAGATCAGTTACACTGAAACATGTGTACAATCTCAATGCTGTCAGTGCAGATACACATCGAGATGACCGTCACAATAACTATCAACACGATTTTGATATGTAAATAATTTGATGTTTATTTGATCATGTAAATAACAGTTCTTAAAGTATACATTTCAACATTTGCTTGATGAAACAAATGAATGATTATGTTCAATGATTATTCCGACCTGTGTATGATTATGTTCAATGTTTATTTAAATCTGTCTATTTCATGAACACATAGGCGGCGATAAGAGCGATGATTGTTGCAACAACCGACATGTGTACTCCAGATGCTGAGGCTGAAACACAATAGAAGTCCATCAGTTGGGCAGGTATGTTTACAAGGTAGGCTGTAACAGGTGGAGGACTCCTACTCCATTAGTGAGTGAGTGAGTTTTGTTTTACGCCGCACTCAGCAATATTCCAGCTATATGGCGGCGGTCTGTAAAAAATCGAGTTTGGACCAGACAATCCAATAATCAACAGTATGAGCATCGATCTGCGCAGTTGGGAACCGATGACATGTGTGAACCTGACCAGCCGATCCCGTTACTTGCCTCTTACGACAAGCATGGGATACTGAAGATCAATTCTAATCCGGATCTTCACGGGTCTCCTAGTCCAGGAAAGGTTATTAGGGCGTTACGTGGACATTCAGAGATATTTCTCAACATTTAAGAGGGTTATCAAGATGGGAATGAATAGTTTTATGATGAAACACCTGGTTCTATTACGCTTGTCAGTTGCATTTTATGTTGCAGATTCCGCATTGCAATACTCAACACTGCATTTAAATTTTCAACTTTGTAACGCAATGGATTACAATTCGACATAAACTTGATATTCTGTAATGCAATCTTATTTAATATAGTTCGGCATTCCCTAGTGTAATTCTGCTTAATATGTCCAGGCAATTCTTTTATTTAACAGAAACGGATATTCATGAAATAGTAATTTGTTTTCTATTCAGTAAGGCATCAGAGCTAACAACATTACATCTTCATTGCGAGGTATTGTCCAGAGAACCGTTGTACAAAAGAACCTTAGCGCTAGGACTACCTTAAGTCTATGTCATGGTATGGGATATACGGTCACCTTAGCGCTAGGATCGCTTTGTACAACGGCATCCTGTTCTCTTTGTAATAGATTGATGTTCTGTTTTCATCACGTTTATTGATGTCATAAACTATGTGTGTGTGCGTGTGTGTGTGACAAAGTTAGGAACCTACATGTACATCCGAAACTTCCCACTTGACTCTTTATCGCGTCGATTGCCTGACTGAACGATGGGTCACTCTTACAACCGCTGCTCACTTTGTTGATGCAGGTGATGAAAGCCTCGAACGCACTGAAAGGTGGAACACAGGTATCGTCAAATAGAAACATCAATGGAAGTTGAACTTCGTGGCTCATATGTTGTAGTGGGCAGTAATTTGGCGGCTAACAGATGCTGAAGCATCATTATACGAGCATTGTCGTAGCATGTCATGACTTGATTGGGACTCAATATGTCACATTCTAAGTGAGTAAGTCAGTTTAGTTTTACGCCGTACTCAGCAATATTCCAGCTATATGGCGGTCTGTAAATGATCGAGTCTGGACCAGACAATCCAGTGATCAACAGCATGAGCATCGATCTACGCAATTGGGAACCGATGACATGTGTCAACCAAGTCAGCGAGCCTGACCACCCGATCCCGTTAGTCGCCTCTTACGGCAAGCATTGGATACTGGAGATCAACATTCTAACCCGGATCTTCACGGGTCGTTACATTCTAAACTGTGTACTATATGAGGCATGCATTAAGAACACGCTTGTATTTGATTGGAGATGTGAAGTACCTCGAAGCATGTCACCTCATTAAAACACTATTGAGTTTAGGTTTTGAAATGCCATCGAGTGAATATGCCTTGGTTCTCTGCTAATTCACCTTGTAAATGAACATGCAATTTAATTAATGTAATGTATGCATTTATACTGCCTCGTACACAGCACAATATGTCAGAGAAGCTTTGGTGTGTTTGTTTATTCTATCTATATGGCGGTGGTCTGTAAATTATCAAGTACGGACCAGACAATCCAGTCATCAATAGCATAGAAATCGATCTACGCAATCGGGATACCATGACATACAAGTCAGCGAGCTGACCACCCGTTTGTTTTCGCATGGGTTCTGAAGACACACTCTAAAGCGGATCTTCACGGGTCTCAGAGAAGGTGGTGATGAAGTAAAGATATCACTTACGCACAGACTTTACTCTTATCCTGGCCGGCTGCAGTGAAGGCGGTTGCAAAGTTAGTTGAACAGGTAGTGACGACGGACAAGTCATCCACTGAACAAGCAGCGCTCGAATAGCCGACACATACTGCTGTGTGAAAGAATGAAGTTTGTTAGGAGCTGTTTGCAACAAGGTTCGTTGTTTCAGTTGCAGCAAAACCACAACCTGTGGTGAAATAGTAATAGTCACATTGAATAAGGATAGTAATATCTGATACTTGAAAGTTTAATTTTACAATGCAGTGTCGATAACGCCGTCTACGTTTACGTGTGTACGTGTACAAAATATGGATACACATTCATATAACTTGCAAGGATAAATATAGTAGAAAGTTACAGCAATAAATGCAATCCTTATCCTCTTGCACAATTGGCTCTCTGACGTCACGCAACAAAAGTGTTATCAGAGAGTTTAGGGCCACAGCTTGTGCACTTGCGATTGCTGAGCGACGCCCATACCGAATCCTAGTTTCATCATAGATTAGATAAAGATACATGTAAATGCTTCTGAAATCAATATCAATTATTCATGCCCATTTAAACAATCCTAAAGAATAATAATTGCATATAGTGCCCACCAAATCAGAATGCAACATGCTATGTGTTTTAGGTCAATCAATGGTGCATTACTTCTTTTTAAGTAAATTATCATTATGAATAAAACTTAACACTTGTTCTTGTATTCAGATGAGGGCCGGTGTGTGGAGACTCGGAGTCGGGATACTCTGTCCCGCCAGTATTGCCTTGCTATCAGTTGGGTATGTAACTAGCAAGGTAACAACAGCATAAGGACAGTGCTTTCGTCCAGTATAATAAGCTGAGTGATCGTAATCATGTGATCCTATTGCCTACTATACAAATTATGATTAATGTTAAGCTTTTGTTATTTGTAATGTTGTATGTTTTAACCTTTTTTTAAAAAAAATAATGTATTTGAATGATGTAGATTAAGGTCGTAAGGAATACGAGGTATCCTTGTATCGGGAGAAGCGGAATTCAGTGTATAGGCATTTTGTTGATAGCGGGTTGATTTTAAAAGTAAATTTATCCGGTTTATACAAAATTTCTAACGATACATTAAAAAGGACACATGATACATCGTTTTGTAACGGAACACAGTTTGGGAGTTTGCATAATTGCATGTATCAAATTTTATATAATTTGACCTGTATGTGTTGATGTCTTTAACCAGATCTGATTGATGCATATTAATGCTTTCAACGCATATACCCATGTGTGATGGTGGTCCAGACACAAGAAAAAGCAAAGATAAAATGGTGGCACAATTTTTCATATGGTTACCATCGGACCTTGTCATGGGCGTTTGCAGTGTTTCAGGGATTATTGAACCTAGTAATGTTTTGATACCGTTTGTTGTGTGATAATAAATCGAACTGGTGAATAATTAATATGATACACGCACAGTAACTCTACAAGTCTATAAAAGTGTGTAAAAAGAGTGTCTAGAATAAAATCTTGACGATCTCGCGACAGGATAAGGTTCATAAAAAGCAACCTCTTGGGACATAAATACGCCAGAATACGAGTCAAAGTCCACCATATCTTTCTGTGCGAATACGAGCAAAGTTGCACTCCCTGCCTAAAGTTGTGTATTATAATATACCTTACCTGCTACAAGAAACGCTGAAATGATCCACTTGTTCATGGTGAGGAGTGACTGACGATGTGGCGTCTTAACGAGTGTGAATGTGGGTAAACTTATATAATGCTGGTGGATTTTGTGGCAACCAACCAGAGGCGACCGATAAGAGATAAATATTTAAATCACTGTCACGAGTTGTGTTTCTGACTAAAGTGATAACAGATGAATGTTTCGATATTTCATGCGATTACTATGTATGTATATATGGATGTTAATGTAAGTCTTTATACCTTTGAGAAAAAAAACCACTAAGCATATACGTTGTCCGTGTTACAGTTGATTCAACCAAACAAGCAATTTCTTGAACATAGGGCAATATCATACAGACATTCGATGACCTGGTTCATGACCAACAATATTATCATCATTGTTCAACTTGACATGTCCGAACAAATAGAAATTAGCGATCAGGAATATGACTGGGAATTGTGTTGTTGTGATGACTGGGCACTCCTCTGAGCTTGAGTGCACCTAGCACACGTCATTTGTCTCAGTGTGACAGATCCAGATAACTGAAGAGTGTCAAAGAGGACGTCTTATGCGGTCCTTTCAGTTTATGACTATTAAGAGATACATTTCTGCACGACCCATGAAGGTCCGGGTTAGAATGAGCCTTGCCTGTCGTAAGAGGCAACTAACGGGATCGGGTGGTCAGGCTCGCTGATTTGGTTGACATGTGTCATCGGTTCCCAATTGCTCAGATCGATGTTCATGCTGTTGATCACTGGATTGTCTGGTCCAGACTCGATTATTTACAGACCGCCGCCATATAGTTGGAATACTGCTGAGTGCGGCGTAAAACTAAACTCACTCACTCATTTTCTGAACGGAATTCTGGACATAGTTTGGAATCAGCTTTGCTATTATTCAATAAACTTTTTTGTTAAAACACCATCAAGTCGTTTGTCGTTTGCGCACCACATAATATGATTTGTTGAAATATTCACTTAAATACATGTTTAGTGGGGCATATGGTCTTGTGCTTAGAGTCTAGGTCACAGATCAGTTGAAGTTAAGCAACGTCGAGCACGGAGAGTCCAGGGATGGATGACCGTGTTTAGCAGCTTGAATTCTGAGAGTTTCTAGAACTTCAGTCCTGCCCCACAACGAAGCCCATGTGATACACGTAAGGTTACGAAGGTTCATTTTTTTTCGGCTTCCTCCAACGGTTCTACATGAGTAAAGTGGAAAACAACTTGTACACATATATAAACAACGATGGCATTGGAGAGATGTAATTGAGGCAGGATAAAGTACAATACAATATAGATATATATTCATATATACAAAGGATGCCTTTAGAGAATGATACAAACAGTAAACTACATGTATTTATATCTAAACTTCTATGGATACATTCAACAAATTTTGACCAGTCTTTAGCATGTTTAGCTTGTTTGAACAAGGTAATCCTTTAAGTGTACATAGGTTGGGCCAGGTATTGACATTCTGAGGTATATACAGCTCCCGCTGTTGGTGAAGAGCTTGGCACCTGAAAAACTTATCACCAACAGCGGGTGAGTTACATAATTTACATAAACGATCATATCTAGCTGTATTTGTCCACCGGCCAGTCTCAACGGGTAGATAATGGTTACTATTTAACTTACTAGTGAGTTTGTTCAAAAGTGCCTCTGAACACCCAGCACAAAAATGGGTGATGGTCATGTGATTATAACCTCGTAGCGCCTCAGAGGTAGCTTGTTTTATTCGTGATAATAATGAATTTTCCCTGCTTTGAGCTTGCTGTCGGTGTGGATTTAGAGCAATATAAATGGACTAATTAAAAAAATGAAAACAAATAATAAAATCATATAAAAAATCCCCCGAAAACATTCATGATTCTTTACCGCTTTTGTTCACTGTACGTATGGTACCAGAAATACCAGGAGGGACACCAGAAATGGGCTTTACACATTGAACCCATGTGGGAAATCGAACCCGGGCCTTCAATGTGACGACCGAACACTTTGACCACCAGGCTTCCCCAGAGGACCGACCAGTAAGACAACTAATACCCTGTAGTTTTGTAATTAATGTGTTGTGTACGTCAAATTACCCTCACATAGGTGCACACAGCAGCTACCGTTTCCTGCACCTTGACATATCCTTTTCACTGTACGTTTCAGATAAAACACCAGTATGGTGATATGGTCTGCGTACGCGAATAAGGCTTTCATTAGTCCTGAGTTTGGTGTCCTGAGCACGGTGTCAGAAGTGGCGTCAAAACTATGACAGAGAAATCAAATTCACCATGTCGGTATATTTTTACCTATAAACAATGACGTTGGCAACAGCATTGTATGTCGACCCAATCTGCACCATCCCAATGGCTCTTTCTCTCTCTTCAGCTGTTAATCGTGGCATATTTCTCGTACTTGTGTATCAGATCATGTATTCTAGGCTCACTTCATACCCTATACAATCATTCTACATGTGAAATGGATGCAAATACTGCTTGAATGTTGCTGCGTTTTGGCGACTGATATTGCTATGTGTAAACAGAAAATAGAAAAATGTTACTAACGTTTCTTTTGGCGTTTAGTGTAATCATAGTTTATTATTGGCATCAAGTGTGTAACTGCAAGTGTAGTTTTATCACCAATCCAGCAAACAGGAGGTTCATAGTTCATGAAATATTTCACATATTGCGACATAACAGAATAGGCCAGATTATCAGTTGATGCATTATCTTGTGACGAAGGTCGGTTTGACGGTCGTACTTAAACAATGTCGACCTGTAACTCAGGGATGGTTTACCTACCCTATGCAGTAGCGACTAAACGGGGTGTACAGACTTGTCCACTAACTGACTCGGGCACATAACTACTGACCCGTGAAGATCCGGGGTAGAATAGGTCTTCAGCAACCCATGTGCTTGCCATAAAAAGGCGACTATCTTGTCGTAAGAGGCGACTAATGGGATCGGGTGGTCAGTTTCGCTGACTTGGTTGACAAATGTCATCGGTTCCCAATTGCGCAGATCGATGCTCATGCTGTTGATCACTGGGTTGTCTGGTCCAGACTCGATTATTTACAGACCGCCGCCATATAGCTGGAATATTGCTGAGTGTGGCGTAAAACTAAACTCACTCACTCACATAACTACTGCATACAGCAGGTTTAACAACGTAGCATAATGCTTTTGAGTAGTATATAAACCTGAAGGGTGCTTCTCACTATATATTAGACATGGCTTCTTTTCCCGGAATAACCGCACTTCTGGTTTTTGTTTGCTCTCAGGTTTTAGTTTTTATGAGTAGGACCTATTTCCCGGTTTTACTTTTGAAAGTAAGACCTCTTCCCAGGTTTTACTTTTTCCTAATTCTATATTAACATCAACATTCAATTTATATGTGAGTGTTTTGAAATCAATTGAAAAATATCGTCAAAGATCAACTTAAGTGTGCAAATGTTTTCCCTAGGAGGATTGGAACTGTATATTTCAGATTCATAAACGGACACTGTACCTCACAGCCACCAGGCTGACTGAGAACGAGGGTTGACTTATCTATTTATAGTTAAGCCTACTGTCATTCAATTGATTTTACCAGCGCTTCAGTTACTGTTATGTAGCTTCATTACATGATCATCTAGTTATCCACCATTGACGGTTTATATGTATAATAAAGCACTCCTCCTCGGTTATGGTTGCGAAAGTAAGCCCTCGACCATCGGGTTGAGAGAAGTAAGACCTCGAGCGCTACGCGCTCTAGGTCTTACTTCTCCCCACCCTCCGGTCTCGGGTCTTACTTTCCCAACCATAACCGAGGAGGAGTGCTTTATCCTACACATATTAGCCACTTAACGGTTTAACAATTTCTTGACGTAACCCTGTTCATATGCGAATGTTCTTTCATTCCTACAAGTGTTAATCACTGTTGTCTAATGGCAACTATCCTCGTAGTGACACCTGTACCTGAGCATCAGTCGCGTGAACGCTTTCCGTTTGTCCAAATGCGTTGAATTATATCAGGTATTGATTTTGACAACAATTTCGAGAGAATCCTTTTTGAGGTTGCTAACTGCCACATTTACGAGGAATTGATCTTCCTGACTTTAGAAAAAAACCCTGCCAGTGGTCATTCACTGGCGTTGGGTCGATGTTTCCTTTGCGATATGAAGTCACCATGTTTCATCATTAGCTCAATGTGGCATCGATCAGTTATGATACGAAATGTATGTTTAAGCTGAGTCTAGATAACTGACTTCATCTGTAAACAGCTCAGCACTTGTACACATCAGATGTTATTCAAAAGTACCACGTCATTTTCAGTTTGAACAAAGTTAGTAAATGGGGTATCTATGTGTATAAATATGTGGTCCGTCCCTTCATTGTCTCGTGTATATGCAGGCGTCTCGCATCTCATGAGTACTGCTGTGGGAAAGCAAGAAAAACACCTACTTTGCTCCCCATGAAATCATTTTCCGCGGGTATTCGAGACTGATTGTCCCCAGAAGTAAAATTGTCGTGCAAATTAATTGCAGTCATATATATGGGGAGAGATCATAACATAAATGACATCTCCTGTTGAAGCCAATGGCGGATGATGGATAGCGTTGTTGATTAAAAGAATGTGAATTAAGTTTTATGCAATAGATTCGAAAGCCGTCATTGTTGGGGGGATACTTAGAGCAATACAGATCGGCTTACCTGGGGAAATGTGTAAACATCGCATGTAGAACAACACGCAAGTCCAAAATATAAAACTGTAAGATCCCATTTCTTTCAGGAACGTGGAAAATTAAACACTGCTCATAATTGCACTGGCATGTCTTTCTTCGCTCAAGTAGTGAAGCATTATCTCATAATACCACAGTCTAACTATCCCGTAAACTGTAACTGATTAATAAGAACGTCATCGAATCATATATATACGCAACTCCGCACAGACGACTGGGTCATGCCTGCCCACTCTTTTGCCTGAAGACCTATAATATATTGAAGTTGATAGTTGATATATTCCTCTTGTATAAATACATGATGATGTTAAATGTCTTTTAAGGATAGATATAAGGTTGAAATGAGAAGAAAACTATGCCGTTCATTTTAGTTATTTAATATCGAAATGA